CCATATCTATATCCATCACCCATATCATTATCCCAATGCAATACGAACTATGAGATCTTGAAAATTAATATATTTGAATTTCGTCCGTACCAGGTCCGTATTCTAGAACTCTGTACTCCGCACGGAGAGTCGAGCCAAGTCAACATACCTTTCCTCCGTCGAGATAATACCATGTGTGTAACCCAGATCAACATAACCACAATAGCAACGACTATTTCACTACCTACCTACACGCAATGCAAACATTCAAGATGGCATACTCTTCTGTCCATCGATCCCGATAGCGAATGTAACCTCCGATATTCCCTGGCAAGGAAGAACCCTTCCTCCCTACCTACATATTTATGGAACCATCATCATCATATATCCAATACACTCATCCTTTCCCCCTCCAGAGTCCACCAACCAACCCAGAAATTCCCGCCGTTCTTACTTCACAAGCCAAGATGACAGCAATGACACGACAAACGACAAATGACAAGCACCACATTCCTTGCTCTCTAAAACTCAAACCCTAGTCTCAATTTGCTTTCGATTTTAAATCTAGAATTCCCCTCTCCCAAAGCCAAGCATTCAGCGACTTCACAGTACCTACATGCTCAATGCTAAGTCATACTCAGTACTCAGCATACCATGATTCGATAGCGTCTACATGGATACCGTATCGAGCGGAGCGTGGGCAGCGCTCGCACTTTCATAATTACATACTATCTGGATACAACAATGGAGACGAAATGGAGACGAAATGGAGACGACGGAACGGATATTGGACACATAGCTAGAAATAGAACACAACACTGGGGCAAGGTGCAAAAATATTCCATTAGTGCACAAGGCAGCTTTATTTCGAGAGTGGATTGAAGAGGCCTTGGAATATCTACTCTGTAATTCAATTATACAATAATTAAGAGGGAGGGATTTCTAAATTAAATATATTTCGGAGCAGGTCGCCCGCTCACCCACTCATAAAATTGGCGGAACAAGTCCCGGAAGAGCCTCCGCTGCATTGATAAATGGGTATATACTAGATGAGAGATGCACACCATATAATGCATTAATTTCGGCCCACAAATTCACAGATACATGGCGGGAAAAGCCTTCCTATGTATTGCATAAGTTTGTATTAGAGTATTAAAATATGCCAGAAAATATCTGTGTTTCCAACAGTGACATTGACACATCCAAATCGCAAAGATCCTTTGCGGCTCCAACCAAGGCTACGCTTTGTCAAATGACGCGTAACGCATTCCTTAACACCAATCGTATACAAGATAAACCGAGCATTATACCCAAATCATGATGGCCTTCCTGATCAGCAAAGATCAGATGAATCCAACCGTCCATATCCACGTGCGCCAAGCCAACCTCAAACATCTATGCTTTTATGTCCATTCCGCATGCAAAAACTTTTTCATACATTAATCGTCGCATCGTCGTCCTATGGAGGACTCGTGTTGCCTTTTGGCAATAATACCCGTGTTCTAGCAATCCGATGATCTAATTGCCAAATGCTCGTCTCATTATAAGCAGAGCATTAACGTTGCCGATGTCACAGCTTCTTCCATTGAAACTCCACGTTACACTTTCCCAAAAGCTCCTTGATAGTTACTAAATCTGTAAGAGTAGTCGTCGTCTGCTCTGTTGTTTTGTAAATCCATAGTCGTTGCATGAAACATCATCGTCTCGAGAGGCAATAATCCCCCATTTAGCTATATAGAGATATAGCCGATGTATATGCCGTCTCACATACCCAATTCATCTTCACTGAATGACGACTGTTCCCTGGTGGGTGGATTTTCTTTTCGTCGCTTAGTATTGGCCAATTTTGATCGACTTCGAGGTGCCGCGTTTCCGAGATCTTTCAAAACACGAGGATTTTCGAATGATCCATGGTTGGAGCTGAGTTCATCATCGCTGCTATTGTTATGAAAGATGCCTAATGATGCGGCGTTCCCTCTTCGTGTTCCCATTTGAGTTCTCGATGGTACTTGCATTTCTGGCTCGGTAGATTGTTCGTGCTCAATACTATCACATTTCCTCTTTGTCCCTCGACTTAATCGCATAGGTCGTTGTGAGCGGACAATTGAAGGTGATTCAAGCTCGATTTCTTCGTTCTCAAAGTCTGTAGTCATGCCTTTGGTTTTGTTGATATTGGTGGCAGGTGTTGTTGTTACCCAAGAGCTTATGCCTTCTTCCCATCTAAAATTTGTCGATTCACAGCGAGCCTCTGTTGTCGTCGAATCAGGCCTTTTTGAGTCACTTGCATGGAGCTCGCTGTCCATAGAATCCGCGTAGTCGAGGTATTTTTGGCCCGGGGTCACTTGTGCGAAGGCAAATGCGCTATCCACAACAATCCCGTGCCAGATAGTCCTCGCCTTCAAATCTCTATCTATATTCACCGTTTTGAGTCTCCGATGTATATACTGGAGATATTCGAAACCAGAGGTAGATGCTCCTTTTCCACAACAACGAGCCACTGAAGTCAAAAACTTAACAGCCTCATCGTAGGCAGACAGCGGCTTCTGGACAAATGAAAAAGGAGCTTCGATATTTGACTTTGTATTCCCTGCGTCTTCTACACACGTCTCGTACAGAGAGTTGATAATGATATCTGGGATATCATCTGCATTAGGCTCAGTCAGTAGACATGCCAGGGGGAAAATGGTACTTCTGAGAGCATTTTCCTTGTTGTCACGCCCGACGATCTCGAGACAATCCTTCAAAAGCTTGAAATGAGTATTGCTAATGATGCTAAAGTGGTCAACCTCCTGTATTTCATGTTCAGTCAAATATCCCACCGGTGTGTCCATTGCCACCGGTAATTTTCCAGCACCCTCATTATCTAGCACGGGTTCAGACATCGCCCACTCATCTTCGCCTTCAAGCTCCCCTTCACTCCTACTGAGGAGTATGATAGATGCAATCGTTGTCAGCACGCTTAACAATGTTGATCTGCATATTTCATGAAAGCCCGTATCCGTCGAGGAGTCAGGCAGTGACACGTAATTTACAAGGCGTGGCAGCACAGCATCCACGAGCATCGTAGCATCTGCTCTCGCATGATTCAATGATAGATCCTGCATCAAACCAGTCCAAACCGGGGCAAATGCTGATGTTGCTACCCATGGGAGCGGGAGGTTTCCACTTTGAATTAACAAGGAGAATTGTCGATATGCAAACCCTGTACGAGTTGTCTCTTCAACGAAGCTACGAAGCGTTGCCAGTGGCCCAGGCAACGCATGATTTTGAGCTCTCTGGTTTGGAGCAGGAGACTTATATACTGAAAGTAGACTTGAAAGTAATAGTTCTGCTTCGTCGTAATGTCCTGAATATATACAAAGATCGACGAGTAGTTCACTAAAGTTGAATTCCAAAAGCCCTTCCAAAATTGCATCGCAAATTATCTGAACACCATGAGCTCGAACCAGAGTTCGAAGGTGTTTCCAGCCTCGATCAGATACACCAAATAACCGCTCAAGTTCATCGTAAGTCTCTGTAGAAATATCTCTCCTTTCAATGGCCGAGTAAGAACCTACATTTTTGATCTCACCAGATAACAACTTTTCCTCCATGGTAATACACTTTGGTACTGTTGCGAGGCACATGGATAGCAATGATTTAGGTCCTCTTCTGTGATTCTTATGTGTAGTAGAACGTGTTGCCTTTAGTAATGCATCAAGGCCATTATAAATACCTTCTAGAGTATGAAAGCTAGTAGCACCCATTGTAGCCCGCATCTTGCTCAAAACTTGAGCGCTATTACCTGTTGGGCGAGCGCGGATAGGCGCATCCGTAGCTAGAATAGACTTTGGTCTCCTGCGTTGGCAATCCTCAGGTACAGTCCATATTGGGAGATAGGGCGGGGTGGTTTGTCTCCACGGTGCAGATGGTCTCCATGCTCGGTTGAGCACTGGCGTTGGAACTACAATATCTTCGGTTGAAAGATCAGTTGAGGATACCACTCTCCCATATGGTGGTAGCTGTAGAGAAGGCTCTGAGATGTTGACATGTCGCCCTGGTCCTCTGGTGTCTCTTCTTTTACAGGTTGCTTTCCAGCTATATGTCGTACTGACTCTCTTTCGAACACCCCAGATTGGATCGTTTGATGCGTCGATGTTGTAATCAAAGAGCGATTTGCCCTTTTGAGGTTGGGCATTTACACAGTTGAGGGAGCTCTGTTTATTCTTACGTAGAATTGCAATTCGGGAGGTTAAAGGTCGTAATAAACGATTGCATCGAGCTGTAGTCCAATCCTTTTCACCATCCTGATCAAGTCGGCCGTTATTCAATGTTGATTCATCGCGTCGCACTGGAGTAAAACTATTGGGGAAGCTTTCCGATTCTGTTCCCAATGGAACATCCCCTCCTTCCATGATATTAACCTATAGTTTGGATCATCAATTTAACTAAACCCCAGCCAAAGAAGCGGGGATCAAGCATACTGATTCTTATTGAGTTCGATGTATTAATTGGATTCTGCGCGATAAGGGACAAGACAGAATTGTGATTCTCGCAGCAAATAATTATATTCTATAGAAGAATGCAAGAAGCAATAATGTAGAGAATGAATCTTTAATGGCAAAAGAAATGAGGAATTGTATGCAAATAAGAAAGGTAAGGTTGATGTTGTTTGATGTTGATGTGTTTGAGAGAGAGAGGAGGCTCGCTAGGTATATGTAGTGAGCAAATGCCGTGTAGTGGTGATGTCAGCAGGGATTGTCATAATACTGGTACGGGCCGGGTTTCTCCGTGCATTCAACTAAATTTTGTACTTTCCCTTTTGGATTTGAAGAAAATGGAATAAATTTATTCTTCACTTGCATAGAATTCATCCATAACAGAAGAGGGGTTTTTTCTTTTCTCTCTACACTCCATTTGTACAACAAAATCAACAAAGTCTTCTTGGAATTCCTGCCATTTCTCGTGTTGGAATATCGATTTGTACCTTCTTCTCTTATTATTGTATTATACCTACGTAAGAGAGCTTTTCAAGGTACAAAATGGCTGTAAACAATGAGGTTAACAACACTACTTCTGGTAAGCCACCCTAAGCACTTTATAGAACTCGAAAATCGCTTCAAAATACATATATACTCAAGTTTCACTTCAATTGACCTCTTCATTTCAATGCGTGGCCTATTATGAGTCATCTGCTAACGTTCAATGTCTTTAGAAAACCCCACCGATGTTTCAAGCAGCTCGCAAAAGCTTGCCACTGAAGAGACTGCCATAACTAATGGTGTTGACCATGAAGAAGAAGATGGTGGGGAAGCGGGCGGTGAAGGTAGGATCAGATGGCAGTTTGAAGACTTAACCAGATTTTATGCTAATGCGAGAATATAGTCTTTCAATTGACTGTGGTGCTTCCCCGCGAGCCCCATAAAATTCAGATCATCGTGAGTGAAACCCCCTCACAAAATATGCAGATTCAATGCTTAGATAGCTAGGTCTCTTCTCAAGAAGCTATACACGATGTTCGCCAATCCATAATCGAGCTGCCCGGAACCTTCCAGTACTCATGTTTCCATCTCGAGCACAAGGGAGAGAGAATAAATGACTTCGTTCAGATATCCGAGGTCCCTGGCTTAACGGCGGACTCAGAAATACACTTAGTCGAGGATCCGTACACAGAGAAGGAGGCAAGAATACATATTATTAGAGTGCGGGAGCTTATTGGTGCTGCCGGGGATCGTACCGATACCTTGAATGGTATCATCTCAGGAGCTTCGCTGCTTGATTCGGTTACATCAAAGGAATCCAGTCAAAACGGCACGAGTACAGCTCCGTCACATCCAATGGTTGGATTTGACTTCCAAGCTTCCGGCAATCTCTCGACCCTTCTACCAAGAGCACAAGAGCCAGGGCCAAAAACTGTCAAGTCAATTTCAGTCTCTCCTTGGAATCCTCCACCCTACCATCTTAGACAGAAGGGACATTTGCTCTATCTACAAGTCACTACAAACGAGGGGGAGCAATTTCAGATCACATCTCACGTATCTGGCTTCTATGTGAACAAATCCTCAACGGGAAAATTTGACCCATCGCCAAAATCTGCGCCAAAAGCCCATTCCGCGCACTCACTTTTAGCACTTCTTAGTGATTTGTCTCCATCATTTGAGGAATCCTTCAAGGGCCTCCAGGAATACAACAATACCAAAGAACCTTTGGCTACATTCCAAATCACAAATGCAACTCCCTCAAACCCTTGGGTTGTGCCATCAGCAACGGCGCCCCTTGTTGCGCATCAAGCTGATATAACACGTACTCAAGAAAATTATCTAATTGCTGGTATTGAGAATAGCGAGACTTTGCGAGACTGGAATGAAGAATTTCAGTCTACTAGAGAACTACCAAAAGACACCGTTCAGGATCGTGTATTCCGAGAGCGATTGACTTCGAAGTTGTTCGCTGACTACAACGATGCCGCAGCTCGTGGTGCGATTCTAGTTGCTAGGGGTGAAATAGCTCCTCTCAACCCAACAGAAGGCAAAGATGCTCAAATTTTCGTCTACAATAACGTTTTCTTTTCCTTTGGGGCAGACGGCGTGGGTACTTTTGCCTCAGAGGGTGGTGACGAGGCCGCTAGAGCAGCAGTAGGCAAGGATGTTATGGGAGTCCGTATGGTCAACCAATTGGATATCGACGGCTTGTTTACGCCAGGAACTGTAGTTGTTGATTATCTTGGAAAGCGTATTGTTGGACAAAGTATTGTTCCAGGAATATTCAAACAACGTGACCCAGGCGAGAATCAAATCGACTATGGTGCGGTGGATGGCAAGGACATTGTCGCATCGGATGAGAAGTTTGTGTCTGTTTTCGAGAAGCTTTCCAAGGCCTTGAAAGTCAAAAAGCATGCAGTTTGGGACAAAGATGCAAAACGTCATGATCTCGAAGGCAGTATCGAAACTAAGGGTCTTTTGGGTACTGACGGAAGAAAGTACGTTCTCGATTTGTACAGAGTCACCCCATTGGATATTACTTGGATGGAGGAAGTCGGTACCGCACTTGACAGCCCTAAGGAGGTCGATGCGGCGAGTGAATCTGCATACCCACATCGCATGACAGTTATCCGACCTGAATTGGTCGAGGCTTACTGGAAGGTAAAGATGCGCGAATGGGTAAACGGCGAATTGGAACGTAAGCGCGAGGCTCAGAAAGCCGTTGAGCCTACTACCGAAGGAAAGGAAATCGAAGCCGCAACTGAGGCATCGGAGCCAGCTAAAAGCGAGGAGCCAACCGAGAATGGAGAAGTGGCCAAGAAGAGCGAATCGGATGAGGTTGCACAACCCAGCAAGCCTGATCAGGAAAGAATTGATATTGGCGATTTCAAGTTTGCATTGAACCCAGATGCTTTCAGTGGACAGCAGCCACAAACTGATGAAGAGAAGGCCGAATTTGCCGAGGATGAACAACAAGTTCGATTGGTTTGCGAGTTCTTGCGCAAGACAGTGTTACCTGAACTTGTGAAGGATCTCAAGGAAGGTGATGTTGGTTTCCCTATGGATGGACAGTCTTTGAGCAGGCTCCTTCATAAACGTGGTATCAATCTCAGATACCTCGGCCAAGTTGCTACTCTTGCGGATGGCAAGAGACTCGAGTCCTTACGCATTTTGGCGGTTCAAGAGATGGTGTCGAGAGCATTCAAGCATGTTGCCGGCAATTATCTCCGTTACCTCCCTATTCCTTTGACAAGCTCATGTATTGCCCATCTGCTCAATTGCTTGCTCGGTACAGATTTGAACGCAGCTCCAAAAGCAGATGTGGATGAGGCTATAGCTGCGCTTTATCCAGAGGCAGATTTGAAATTCAAGGAGGTCACCCCAGAAAGTCTTAAACAAGAGATTGAAGGTCAAGTTCTCCGTCGCTTCCGCTACACCCTAGACTCTGCATGGACTGCAGGTATCAAACATTTGCAACTTCTTCGCGAAGTTTCCTTGAAGCTTGGTATTCAATTGGAGATGAAGCCTTACCATTTCACAAAGCAATCGCAGACTGAAGCAGCAGCAGCTCCACCGGCAACTAATGGTGAGGCTACAAAGGACGCGGCTCCCACCGGAAAGAGCACCAACGGCAAGAAGAAGAAGAAGAATGCCCGTGAAGCCTCTCCTGCATCTGTTGTATCTGCAAACGCCGCATCGCCTGTCACCTTCAACCCAGATGATATCCTTAACACCGTCCCAGTCATCAAAGAGGCGTCTCCAAGAAGCTCCCTTGCAGAAGAAGCTTTAGAAGCTGGTCGTATTTCTCTTCTACAGGACCAAAAGAAGTTGGGTCAAGAATTGCTCTTGGAATCTTTGTCATTACACGAGCAGATTTATGGCATTCTTCACCCTGAAGTGGCGAGAGTATACAACTCCTTGTCGATGCTATATTATCAACTCGACGAGAAGGAGGCTGCTATGGAACTCGCCCGCAAGGCTGTTATAGTTTCCGAGAGAACGTTAGGTGTTGACAATGCCGAGACGCTTTTGAACTATCTCAACCTTGGACTCATTGCACACGCAAGTGGAGAGACCAAGTTGGCTTTGACATACATCAAGCACGCTTTGGATTTGTGGAAGGTTGTCTATGGTCCAAATCATCCTGACTCTATCACAACAATCAACAATGCTGCAGTTATGCTGCAACACTTGAAGGAGTATCACGATTCTCGCACATGGTTTGAAGCATCCCTCAAAATCTGTGAGGAGGTCTACGGAAAGCATTCTATTAATGCTGCAACCTTACTCTTCCAACTGGCTCAAGCTTTGGCATTGGATCAAGACTCCAAATCCGCTGTCAACCGTATGCGCGAGTCTTACAACATCTTCCTTACTGAGTTAGGTGCAGAGGACAAGAACACCAAGGAAGCAGAGAAATGGCTTGAACAGCTTACTCAAAATGCTGTATCAATTGCCAAACACGCAAAGGATGTTCAAGCCCGCAGAAACAGAGGAATCCGAGTCTCTCCTCGTGTCACTCTTGGACAGACCCAAGTCCAACCCCAAATCGGCCAAACTGTTGAGGCCGCTGCTGGTCGAGAAGCTCCTAGGGGACTTGATTCGCGAAGCATTGATGAGCTTCTCAAATTCATTGAAGGAAGCGATCAAAGCAACCAAAACAAGAAACGACCTGGTCGAAGTAACCCAAAGCGACGAGGGGGTGCTGCGGCCGCCGCTGGTAAATAAGGCATAGGGCCGGAGTATAAAATCTAAAATTTAGCATTGGGCGGCGTAAAAGTTATCAAAATTCATTTCTGCAAGCAGTGTATCAACAACCCGTTTTTATTTACCTCTTTCACATACTCAGGAGTGGAATTGGCTGGTCAGCATTTACGTGTCTATGTTTTACGACCCGATTTGATGTATAAACTGAATAGCCCACGGGATATTAGGGGTAATGGGCAGTTGTACATTCATGTATCATGATTTAAGACGCATTACGGAATCAAAAAAAGACATCTTCTCTCCTTCATTATATATACATTAACGCTCGAATGCTTTTCTTAGCAGGTGGTGATTCTTGACGTCTGTGTGTATTTTACATCATACATAAGATGTGACAATGGATGATTCATAAATTACTTACATGATAATATCATTGAGCCAAACTTTCCACTATAGACTTCATGCACTTTATGACATGTTGATAGATACTATGCAGGTATCTCGTAGTAACTGATGATTGAGTTGTTGGCTTGATTCAGAAAATGATCTTGTGATGGAAAGCAGGGGAGTGAGGTTCCGATAGTCATCGGCTAAACCAAAAACCGTCACCGCCCGAGTTCTCCTTCTTCAAGCTCCAGCCTCCAACCTAGCCCCAATAGATACGAGACAAAGAGTAATCAACCTCACCACGGATTATACAAATACAAATATATCGGATTCTGGTCTTTATTTATTTTATTACGTTGCAACATAAGGAAAATAGATCTGTGAATGACAATTTGCGATTAGTTGTAGTTTTGTCAAACTATATGGTTCCTTGATCTAGATACACATACGCCTCCGCCGGTCTGTCCATCACATATCGTCAAGATGGCGATCAGCCCCAAAGTGCTCATACCATTCCTGGTAGCTATGATGCTGGTTACGGGAGTCTGCAATACACTTCTCACAAAATATCAAGTCAGTATACGCTTCGAGTCTGTTTCTGTTATCTGCTAACCATAAGCCAGGACAATGTTTGCGTCCGGAATTGCGACAATCCCGATCCCAAGAAACGAGCATTATTCGAGCAGCCGGTCATACAAACGGCTCAAATGTTCGTTGGAGAAATGGGCTGCTGGCTCTTTGTTGGCGCATTTTCTCTTTATCGCCGATATTTCGCAAAGAACGCAAAGCCCGAAGAGAATGGTTATGAAGCAGTTGATACAAATGAAGGAGAGGCCGCAGATAACGATGGAGCGAGCATCTTGACAACTTCGACTGCAAAGGCAATGGATGTGGATGAAAACAGGTTACCATTGGTGGGATGGAGAGTGCTGTTGTTAGCCTTACCGGCTATCTGTGATATCTGTGGAACGACTTTGAGTGAGTAGTCCACGTTTCAGATGTTTCATTCATTAGCATTTGCGTCCACAAGTCACATTTACCATGCTGTTACTAACAGCACTTCTTAGTGAACGTCGGTCTCTTGTTTGTAGTCCCTTCAATTTACCAAATGACTCGAGGAGCTTTGGTGCTCTTTGTTGGAATTTTCAGTGTACTCTTTTTGAAAAGAAGGCTTCACCTATTCCAATGGTTCGCTTTGGTGACCGTTGTTCTTGGAGTCGCTGTCGTTGGTCTCGCTGGAGCTCTTTACCAAGATGACAAAGCCGCGCCGTCTTCAACAGCGCTTGTACACGACGCACTAAAGCTAGCCGCAAGAGAAGCCAGAACACCAGAAGCCCTGCGCGCTATTATTGGTGTATTTCTAATTGCGGGCGCTCAAATATTTACTGCTTCTCAATTCGTTTTGGAGGAATACATTCTGGAAAATTACGCTCTGGAACCTCTCAAAGTTGTAGGCTGGGAGGGTCTGTTCGGGTTTGGAGTTACAATTTTCGGTATGATCATTCTCCATCTTGCAGTCGGTAGAACCGCAGCGGGAAGATATGGATACTTCGATCTTGTTGAAGGATGGAGACAAATTACACACTACAAAGCCATTGGAGTCTCAAGTGTGCTTATCATGATCAGCATCGGGTAATTTTCCTCTCTCCATCTATCTCTTCTTTCTAGCTAACCTGCTTAGTGGCTTCAATTTCTTTGGACTTTCCGTAACCAGAACAGTCAGCGCCACATCTAGGTCCACCATCGACACTTGTCGTACACTCTTTATTTGGGTTGTGTCACTATTTCTAGGATGGGAAACTTTCAAGTGGTTACAAGTTCTTGGCTTCGTATTACTCGTGTACGGAACTTTCTTGTTCAACGACCTTGTCCGACCTCCTTTGAAGTCTTGCATCGTTCGTGATGTGGATGAGCTCTTGCCGTAAGTTCGATCGAATCTTTCATATCGTCCACCCGTCATTAGATCTTGTCTGGAACCCCTCTTTTTTGTCACGTATTTCTGCAACTTTCAATGGTACCCGTGCGTGTTTTTTGTGTATGGGCAATTGCTGATTCGCAAATTTAGAGAAGAACCTATTGAACATATGTAAATGCTCTTAGGGCCGCATGGGGAGCTGTGTACAGTACGTGATTTATTCGGGGAGAATAGCATTTGGGTGGGAATTAAGAGAACATTGAGAGATCAAGTAAGAGATAGAATCTATATTGATAAATTGCAATGAGAGGTATGCGCGCGTTTTGGTTGATATCGGATAATGACGGTTTGGGTTGGAGCATTAGTTGGAGGCGCAAATGGCGTTCAGGGTTCATATGCATGTAAGCTTGTGTATGTAAGCCTCAAAATTGTAAAAAAAAATATAAACAAAAAATGTTGAACATATGTAGATAATCTATCTGCACGAGGTTGAAATCGGAACGTGACGGTCAGTATTTACCTTGAGAGATATATTTTCGGATGCATCAGACTGGATTAGGTGAGCCGCGGGTATCGCCTCAATTTTCAAGTTGTATGTATGCACGGTAACTTTGTTTGATTTAAGAAGTTCGCGTACTGTTTATTACTATCCCACTCCTTATTTGTGTGGTGCACTGGTGCGGTGCGGTGGGATGGTTGGGGTTGGGGTTGGGATTTGATCTACCTAGGTTCACTTAGGAAGGAGGAAAGAGGGAGAAGGGGAGGTTGTGTTAGAAGTTAGGGATCGGTTGATTACCTGCACTGCACCGTAGTGATTAAGTTTAATTTGATTCTCTTTTTTGAGGGGGGAGAGGAAGGGAGATAATGAATGACATGTGATGGGATGGGATGTATCGTGTGGTATGTGGCATATATAGTAGGTGGTATGGTATGGGAAGGGGAATTAGTTTGGTAGATTGGGTTTATTTGATGAGTTACGGCGAAAGTTGTTGTAGTACCATATATCTATCTATCTATCTATCTATCTAATCTGTAACGAATATTATACATACATACATACATACATACATACACACATACACACATACATACACACACATCTAGATGAAAAGCAGAAAGAAAGAACGAAAGAAGATCAAAAAGAGAAATCGGTAAATGGACCGAATGCTTACGGGTGTGATGACTCGTTTTGTGAGGAAAGTAAATGGCTCGTCCGACGTTGCTCTGGAGTTAGCCGATGCTGCAGATTCATGGATGGGTTGATTGGGTTGCGGCATGTGCGGTGCGTGCGTGCGTGCGTGCGTGCGGCTCATGATGTGAGGGAGTGTGTTGGTTTTAGCCGCATGGTGGGTGTGGGTGTGGGTGTGGGTGGTTGGATGTTATTGGTGATGATGATATGGGTGTACTTGTAGGTAGGGTAGGTGAAAGAGTGGGAGAGGAGGAGAGGGGAGGGGAGAGGGGTGTTTGTAATTTTGTGTGGATGAATGAATGAATGAATGAATGAGTGAATGAATGAATTAATGAATGAGTGAATGAATGAATTAATGAATGGATGGGAGTTTGGGAGTTTGGGGGTTTGGCGATTCAAGTTGGATTAGATCGGATTAGATTGGGGGATGGAATGAATGGTTGAGGGGTTGAGGTTGAGGTGCGGGGTTAGGTGATAGGTTATATATTATATATTATATGTTATGTGGTATGTATTGACCTAAGTGGTGAGATTGGAGGGATAGCATGGCTGTGAGATATCGGGTGAGATTACTGTAGAGGATAGGATTTCTCATGATCTAGGAACTTGTATGATGATGAGGAGGCGAGAGAAAGATTTCGGAAGAGTGAGCATTCAGAACGGATGAATAGATGGGAGATGAGAACATGAGAGAGGGATGAAAAGGATGGGATGGTGAGCATTATGAGATACCTATCTAGACAGGGCGAGGGAAGTAGTTTCGAATTCAATGTAACGGTGAATAATATCAATTTTCATCCATCTTCATGTTCATTCGTCTTCGTATCATGGTTGATGCCGTATGTGCTTATACTGGCTAGGTTAGATATTTTTGAAGTTTGACCTAATTCTACCTTGAAAGAATGAAGCATTTTCATTTGTGCCTGGCCCCCTGGTGAACAATCCAAGACAAGTACAGCCTCAATTCTCGAACTCAACAACAGCCGTTAATTCCTAGTTGCAGTTTTCTAATCTAAGTGGCTCAGTAATTCCACGCAAGAAAGTTCAAGTCAGCGTGGCCGTGTGCTACTCGCATTCCTTGCTCACTTGAGAATCTAGTTCGAAGAGAGAGGGATAAAGTGGGCAGAGGGCAGAGCGGGCAAAGAGGGCAAAGAGGACAAAGAGGGCAAAGAGGGCAAAGAGATAAAGCATACTGTCAATAACCGTTTTATTTTTCTTCTTTCTTTTTCCCTTTTCCCTTTTCCCTTTTCTCTTCTCGGCAAACGAATACTACGATGCGGCGCTCTTCAGCGGCGTGAATCATAATGCTACCTTATCCACCTATGAGGACAAGCCACACATACACCACGCCTACTTGAGTGAGGTACATGAACGTGATGTTAACACTGCTATGTATTCACAGTAGTATGTATTGACTAATATACTCGGCCAGACTTCCGAGGTATACGAAAAGTGCTCTAGATTTCCCCCGGTCCATGGAGTAATAGTGACGGTCATACCGAACAACAATACATAGGTTACGGAGGAGACACGAAAAGAATATTGATATATGTCTATCGATCTGAAGGGAACCATTGCGCTATACAAGCTGGTGATCTGTTGTCTAGTTCCAACGAGACACTGGCAGCATTGGTTGATAATCTGCCGGCACGCACTGCCTTCTTTAATATGTAAGGTTACAGAGAATGCGAAAGGTTTCATAAATAGATGCCGAGTTCTTTGGATCAAATTAGATTACATGTACCTATACGTACCTTGAGTACTTGGCCATTCACGTGCTAATGCTTCTGGTCCTATTACCGTGCTCTGCTCTCCTTTCTAATCACATCTCGTCAAGTAAGATATATGGTAGTAGTATGTGTGTATGGATCGAGCGAAAGATAGTCCGCATCTTGAACTGTTCCATGGATCCTTTTCTGCTGGCCGCAGATGTGCTTTGATAGATTTGACAGCTACCACAATACCACCCTACCTAGGTACATTATACATATTCTGAACAAACCCTGAGAAATCTCAAATTAGAAACTGCTCGATTGCTTTGCCGTTCTTCATGCCAGAGGATGCCCCAGTAATAGATGTATGTAGGCATAGTAATGGTATAATGTACGCAGCACTCGCAAAGGCTGTACTGTACTACTAATCTGGGTCTATTCTTTCACATTGGACAAGAAAAGCACCAGCCCAAAGATATATCCATATCTATCCTAATTCACCCACCCACTCAGATACACAACCCATTCATGACCAGATAAAAGATAATAAAAAATTCAATCAAAATCTCCCCTCATTTGTTTCCTGGGGAAGGAAGGACTCTACCGCACCGCTACTCTTACATTCGTCTACCTATACACTTGTCTACCTTGTCGTGTAGTGTCTTTTCTCGTCTAGTCTACTTTAATATTTGACATTTGGCATCTAGCATCTAGCATCTAACATCTAAACAGCAATCCTCGTAGACTTCTCTTCCTTCAATCTTGTTCTCCACACTTCCGACCAATTTTTTATGTTTAAACATATTATGCAATTGTTACAAATAATGCATATTGGACATTAAAGAGGGGATTCTGGGGCTCCAGATTGACGCTAATTCTACGGTCGTCTGAAGTAATCAACGAAGCTAGCTCATGGGCAGATCTACCGGATCTTCTATACAGATCGCACACGCTTCACTTTATTCTGCACTCAACCACACTATTTTGGCCATATTTATACTATAATTTTCTTTTGCCTCTTTTTATAATTTCACTGTGTATATTTTATGACCCATCCTCGGTCAGCAATACTGTTAATCGGCTGGGCGATTCCGGGAAAGTACGATTAGAGGCTCGCGCAATATAATCGCAACCTTGGAAGTCAAATTATCCTTTGCAAGAACGAGCCGACAAGTTCTATAAACGATTCGAGCCGCGGCCCTCATCCCCCACGAATCTGTCATCCGATTCGGTACTTGGATTATTCATGCAATCCTATCTACATTGTCTGGCTGTATTCTCTGCTACTCTCGAGTCAATCGGCATCTGCATGCCTTGTATGCTATGAATATCTGCCTAGCAGTTCAATGTATGCGATACGTTTAGTGGCTCAATGGAATTATGACCGAGATCGCAGATACCTACTTTGATCCCGATGACGTTGGTCCGCGCGACAGTCCTATATTAAAACCGATGCATATTAATATCAGACCCTCTCCTCCCCAGAGGTTCATCCGCCTCCTCCCATCAGTCCCGAAGCCGGTCCGGACAGACGCAGGGGGGAGAAACGACCCAAAAGTCGCGCTTGTCAGGCTGATGCTGTACTCGTGGGTTTGATGGGTGGAGGAAAACGTCCTGACATTGCGCAGTATGCTGGAAATGAGGCTCTGCCATCAGACGAGGGTGAGGAAGACGAAAGTCCCGTCAGAGGCACGGCGGTGGAAATTCCGGGACGTGATATATCTCCTGGAACAGCTGATCTCGATATTGCCCAAATGGCAGTTGATATGATAAAGCGCACATTTCCGGAGTCTCGGAATAATTCGCTGGGTTCCACTGGGGAAGCTCTTGAAGCTGATCAGGTACCCGCAAATGGCAATGCCAATACAAATGCACAAACACAGTCACAAGCACAGGATGCTATAGATATAGAGAGAGTCAGACTACATTCCAATTCCCATGAATTATATCAAAATGCTACGGTACAGGGAAGTAGCGTAGAGGAAACGCATTCTACCCCACCTAACGATCCTGGAGGTCTTCCACCTATGCTTCACTCTCCACCTCAATCCGGCTCTACAAATAGCAATGGGAGTCAACATATTAAATTACCATCAATAGCTGAATCATTGAAACAGCTTGTTGAGGAACCACTACCCAATTCTAATGAAACTTCATACTCCCAATCTCCAGGAAGATCTATCTCAAGATTTCCTCCTGGACCCGGAGTAACATCACCAGCTAACTCTCCAAATGGTCTTCGGAGAGATATTATGTCCCCCTCAGGACCATTATTCAATCAATTTTCGACGAACAATTCGAGGAGACTTTCAACGTCTGAAGGGCGTCCATACGGTATGACGGCGGATTATAGCAGTGGGAGCAATGCGGAAACGCCAAGCACGGATCAATCAGCTTCAACTCCCGCTACTATGGCCATTGATCGCATGAGTATAGATGGGATTACGAACCCACAGATTGGAGGGTTTCAGTGCACTTATCAGGGGTGTGTTGCTGCGCCTTTTCAAACACAGGTACGAATGAGATCATGCTTTTGATAGATTTCTGGATGTTCCACCAAAAAAAAACAAATACTACGTAGAAAAAGGTGCTTCAACTCTAAGATGCTAATCTCGTATACAAATAGTATTTATTAAATTCCCATGCAAATGTACATTCTTCCAATCGACCGCATTATTGTACGGTGAGAGGATGTTCGAGAGCCGAGGGGGGAAAGGGGTTCAAGAGGAAAAATGAAATGATTAGACATGGTTTGGTTCATGATAGTCCGGGTTATGTGTGTCCTTTTTGTCCGGAAAGAGAACATAAATATCCAAGGCCGGATAATTTGCAAAGGTATGTTCAAATTTCTCTATTTTTTTAGAACTAGGGTGGAGGGAGACTTTTGAATGTTGATTGATAATTTGATAATTCTCACGCCTCTGAACAAAATGGAAAAAAATGTCTGGATCCTCTTCTAACTTGCAACAAACATAGACATGTAAGAGCACATCACACGGATAAAGATAAAGACGACCCGCTCTTGCGAGGAGTGCTCGCGCAAAGACCGGAAGGTCCGAATAAAGGCAGAAGACGTAGAGGTGTCAATTGAGAACCGCTGGGTAGGGCGTTGGTAACTGAAGGAGAAAAGGAGAGGGGAGTCGAAAATCGAAAATTCAAAGAACTTATCTATCGGTCTATCTATATATGGGTCGGATTATTTTCTTCACGCTTGATGATGTGCAATTTGCAATTTGTAATCCGCGTTTGCAGATTCTTCTTGCAATTGGCAAAAGGTCATAAAGCGGAGTGGAGTGGTGGTGTTTCATTAAGGAGGGAGGCCTTGTTCATTTTTTATTATTTTTTTGCGTTGCGTTGCGTTTTCTGCGTTTCCTCTGCTGGATGCTGGGTAAAATTTTACATACCTACCTAGCAACGACGCGCGCATAAACTTTGTTTCGCTTTTTATGACTTGATGGTTATGGATTTGGATGGATCGGATTGAATGGAATGAATGGAGTATGGGAGTGGGAGGCACTTTTTGATACCAGAAATGGATTTAGGGGGTGTTCTTTTTTTTTTTTGTGTTGTTTTTTGTCGGTTTGAATGGAATGGAGCCTTCCTCTCTTTTTTTGAAGTGAAATTTCCTTCTCGCTTCGAGGGAATGTGGAAATTGGGAAGGGAAGGGGAGGGAAGGCGAGGAGGGATATGGGACGTGGGGAATTAGTGAAGGGGTGGATGGAGAGATGGATGGATGGATGAGTAAACGGATGGATGCTTGGACGGATTGAATAGTAGGATTCTTCGGTTTCATGTCTATACATACTCCACACTTACTACCCACTACCTACTTTATACTCAAACACCAGATTCGTTAAAAGGGCAATTTTAAACTCTTTAAATGTATGTTTGTGTGTGTGTGTGTGTGTGTGTGTATCTTGAAGTGTGAATTGTCCATCACGAGTAGGATAAAAGACGATTATTTTGTCTATACTCATTTCCTACTAAAAAAATAAGCATACAAAAATACCACCCCCACCACCCCTATCCATCCCCCGTCCCCCAAACCCCAATCTCCACCTTGGAATCACTCAACGCCTCGACAAAAACCTCATCGAAGCCCAATCTCCCACCCAGCCTCTCCACCACTACCCAGATCCCGCCCATCCGATTCATCTCACTCGAAATATCAATATCCCTCGTGCGGATCCCCGCCGGCGCATCGCTGAATTCTCCCTCGTTAGACGACTCGAGAAGAATCTTATTAGGGCCCTGACCCCTCTCAATACTAACTCTCAGACTCGGTCTCGATTTCGTCGGCGGCGGTCGATTTTCCATACTCGTTTTTGCGACGAATCTCAGACGGGTGAGACGGGCGACGGTGATGGGCGCGAGCATTCTATCGATTCCATTTTGGAAGACGAGCGTGGGGAGTTTGGCCACGAGTCTGCCTGCCGTTTCGGCGAGGACGGGTCGGATTTCGCATCTGCTCGAGGATTTGACGCGCAGGGTGAAGTTTCCAATTTCGCCTGCTTGGAAGGTGGAGCAGACGATGGTGTATTTGCCCGCGGCTACGTTGTGTAGCTCTGCCAATGCACAGCCGCGGCGGTAGTCGCCTGAGCCGCCGACTATGTCGCGGGAATTGATAACGGTGACGCGTTGTCCCGAGGCCCAGATCATGGTTACGTGGACGGCGATGTCTTCTTTGTCTGCTTCGAGGACGAGCATTATATCGGTAGGTTCTGTGATTGCGATGCTGAACTGAGGGTTTGAGGGGTAGGATGGAGAGCTGGCGTTGCCACCCGCTGTGCGGGTTGTCCAGGAGCCGGGATGAGAGGTGCTGAAAGTGTGACTGTCGGGGGCGGAACAAATGGTGAGGGGAGAGCGAGAGAAGAAGGAGAACGAGAAGGAGTATTTGGGGAGAGGGAGATTTTGTTGCGCGGCTACGACTGTGTAGGAGGTGTTTGCAGGTAGCTCGAATCGCGCGAGAGTTTGGGGAGAGTCGACGTAGGCACCGCGGTGTAGAGCGCCATCGCTTAAGTAAACGCGATGACCGGAGGCGTCAAAGACGTACAGACTGATGAAGCCGAGGGACTTGGATGTGATGCTTTGTGTGCTTGAACCTTGAGCAATATCGTGTTCTTCTGTAGTGAAGTGTCGACTGAGCATTACCCAGACAGTCTCTCCTTTAACAGAATGAACGACATATTGAGGGTTTTGAGTAAATGTTCCGATGTTATTGACGTGTGGAATCGTCCAGGAGAGATGGTGATCTTGTCTATAACGAAAGAGTCCAGGGTTCCAATTGAGGTACAAGGACTCGAAATTCTGTATCACATCCTCAAATGCCATCCAAAAAGTCCCTGGTTTGGTGGAACTTCTCGCGGTGTCAGACGCTTCCAAGGATTCCCGAAGACCTTCCGTCCAAGTATTGTCTCCCGATGCCTCCTGAACTGGACTTCGTCTAGGCCCTTTCCAAGCCATACCATCGCACCAAGGATTTTTGACGAGTAATAGTCGTTGAGAGCCAGATTCTCTCATATCCAGAATAGCATAGTCATGCTCACCAACCAGACCCAAATCAGCTTCCTCTCTTCTGGTCAACTTACCAGTCCCCAATGTAATCATGGCGTCGCCGAACTCAAAAGATTTATAAATACGCTTCCACAGTAATTCAGACTGAATTTCGTCACTTTATCAATCAATTTGGTCAGAATAGCTTGATGCCCGGGAAAGGGTATACAATACCTCTGTAAGAATATTTGCTCAGGAATCCATCCAGTCATTATCCATAAGTCTGTGCCAGAGTTCGAGCCTGGAAAATCGTAGCCGCCTCGCACTTTTAGATATGCTTTCTCAATCAATGCAGGCCATAGCAACATAGGATTGTTTCTATCCACGACATGAAGATTGCGAGCTGAGCTTGAAGCTGGTAGCCGATCGTCTATTGTGACTTTCCTATAACAGCCATTGAATTGAAGACGGAGTATGTATTTCCCATTTTTAGATGATCTCGGCCTCTGCTTTTTTATATCATATGGGCGCAGAATAGTATCCAGTACCTATTAGAGAGAGTCAGTAAACTTAAAGTATGGTCAATATGACATTCCAAAATGTATATACCTTGCTATGACCTTTTCCAGCACGTGCTGTTCCCGCACAAAGACTGGCTACGACAGAACAATCTGTAGTTATATCCTGGACAAGATCAATATCTTTAGAGGCATTCATAAGAATATCGGTATTTTCCACATCTTCCAGCATTTGAGAAGGAACCTCATCCCTCTCGTGAGGTCTCTTCCAACCTGCAAATGTTTCAATTTGATCCTCAGAAAGCTTTAGCTCAGAAGAGTCTCTATTGGAGTCAGTAAGAGGTCCCAGTATGCTCATCGGTTCCATCTACATACGTATATAAGGATGCTTCAAATATCGTGTCATCAGGTTCAGAGGTCCACCGTGGGAAAATAAATCCGTGCAATCTTGATCCCTCGAGCAAGATAATTTCTTCATGTTTACTCAAGGTTCGTTCGGATACTGGAGCTTTCAGGAAGATTGAAGCGGGTTTTATAGGCCAAGTGGATGACTTCTTGATCTCTTCCGCTTTCAACATCAATGCCTTGCATTTTCGGTTGATCCTTGCCTTTTCGACATTTCCAAGTACTTGCTTCGAAACTTCAATATATAACTCAATAGCAGCAATAGAGACTTTTAAAGCTTCTTCCTTGGAGCTACATTTGTCAATGCTCAACTCCGTTTCCTAGCCCCAGTGTCAGAATGACTTGTTCCATCACTAGGATTAATGGGTATTGACGTACAAGAGCTTTGGCTTCCATAATGGCTACAACAACTCTTATAGAGAAACGTTTCTTCGGATACGAAGGTGAGCAGCATATGAATGAGAGGGTTCTCAAACGGTAGATATCAAGCCATATCCCTAAGCAAATACTCGTTTGTCTGGTGTATGGCTTTTCAGACTGCTGAGGGAGATGTTATTCACTGCGAAGCTGGAGGAAGAAGTGTAAGCAAAGTCGTAAGGGTGTTCACTGATCAACCTGTGCTTATGCTTTATGTGTAGTTAAACCAACGGCTTGGATTGTCGTCGTTTCCCATCCGTTTCATCAGTTGCAAGAGCTGAATATCCACGTGATACTCGAGATTCATCATAACCGTGGACAGTACGATAGAGTTCTTGGCATGGAGCAGTGGAAATTCTGTGGAATGATGGAATAAAATGCACGGTCCCATAGCGAATATCCGAGCCGAGGTTTAAGATCGTCACAAACTCCGACCCTCGCGCCGCGCATGATAGCAATACACAACGGCTAAACGTGAAGAAGGAAGGAATATGATTCAGGAATTCTTCAAACTTAATATCATATGTTAGATATTCATAACCTCCCATTTATTTATCTGTATTTGTGATACGTACTTGTGTCTTTTATAAATCATTAAACATTCAAATAAGATATAAAAAAGACCTTGCACTAAACTTATTCCTTTACCTAATAATACCCAGACTCAATATCCATTATTGCTTGTTTGTTTGCTGCTCCATGAAATTTTAAAATCCCATCGTTCTATATTCCTCCTACTCAAGAATATAAAGTCGGTTCAGGATATACTACAAATCCAACATGACAGGACAATCAAAAGAAGCTGTTATCCCGCCTTGGGGTTTGGCAGTTGCTGGAGCTACAGGAGCTGTAATTGCAAATGCTATGGTATATCCCCTGGATATGTAAGTTTTGATCCCCGTTTGCGTGCGCATTCGCAAGGCGGTATGTAATCGTTTGCTTATATTCTACGAATCTGTTGGTATTTTGTGGCTAATATCGTAATTCTACCAGAGTCAAAACTCGCCTGCAAGTTCAAGTCAAACGCAAGCCGACCGATGTAGCACCAACGGGTGATGATGCAGTCCACTATACGTCGACTTGGGATGCGATTTCTAAGATTGTAGCCGAGGATGGAGTTGCTGGACTCTACGCTGGTATCAATGGCGCCTTGATTGGTGTCGCCTCAACCAATTTTGCCTACTTCTACTGGTACTCTGTCGTTCGAACCTTATATCTCTCTTCTCAGAAAATCCCCACGCCTCCAAGCACTGCAATCGAATTGTCTTTAGGAGCCGTCGCGGGAGCTGTTGCCCAGGTCTTTACTATTCCTGTTGCAGTAGTTACCACTCGTCAACAAACACAAAAAAAGGGTGAAAGGAAAGGGATGGTAGATACAGCTCGGGATGTTATCCATAGCGAGGATGGTTGGACCGGCCTTTGGAGAGGTCTCAAGGCCAGCTTAGTACTCGTTGTTAACCCTGCCATTACATATGGCGCATATCAAAGATTGAGAGAGGTTGTTTTCCCAGGCAAGACAAACCTCAAACCATGGGAAGCATTTGGTAAGTTTGTGAATTCAATGGGACTTTCGGGATCTAATTGGAATGATAGTATTGGGAGCAATGTCCAAATCTCTTGCAACCATCGTAACCCAGCCTTTGATTGTTGCAAAGGTTGGACTTCAGTCAAGACCACCCCCTTCCAGAGAGGGTAAACCTTTTAAAAGTTTTATCGAAGTAATGCAATTCATCATTCATAATGAAGGATTGCTGGGCCTCTTCAAGGGAATTGGTCCACAAATCACCAAGGGACTCATTGTTCAAGGTCTCCTAATGATGACGAAAGAAAGGTAAAACTCGACCCATACAATTTAACCCAAATCAGATCTAATTAAGCTAATACTTTTGTAGAATGGAACTACTTTTTATTCTTCTCTTTAGATATCTTCGAAAGATTAGATCAGAGCAATTGCAAAAGGCCGCAGATCTTGCAGCGTCGAAAGCCAAGCAAGTTCTCCCAGTCATTGCTAAGTAATAAAGAAATTCGAGTATTGAGCGAGTAATAGTAAGAATGAGGGCATTGAGATTTCTTTCTGGTTTTGGGTAGTAGAGCATTGTAAGTTTTGCTAGGTTTAGCTGGAGTAGACGTGATAGAGCTTGTACTGTACATATATTTGATGGGAAAACAAATTGAATGACACATATGACATTCTTGACCATGGGCCGTGAAGATACAAATTCACATGATAACTCTTCAATCTAAAGTAAACGGAATGAATAGCTCAAGTTGCGTCTAGACTTCGATGTAAAAGGGCGGGTGGAATTCCAGCGGGGGAAGCTAGTCGGATTCACGTGATTAAATCGAAATTTAGGCGAGCAACCGCCGCACCAAGATCATTTTGGAGGAAAATTAATTCCCTCCTCTACGATACGAAATCGACCACCACAACAATCCAACAGACTGCTAATTAACAACAGTCGCAATGGCGAGTATGTTAAGATCCCAATATATGGCAGTCTCACAGTTCATTGTACTGATTTCGCCTCTTTTTAGAATCCAAGAACTCGTCCCAACACAACCAGTCGAAGAAGGCTCACCGTAACGGGTACGATCCCCTACATATTGTCGCGATCAATAACCGCAAATTCCGTCTACTTCAATTAATAACCGGTCTTGGATGAATGGGGGCTAATTTTACATCGACGCGCAGTATCAAGAAGCCAAAGACCTCCAGATACCCATCCCTCAAGGGTACCGACCCCAAGTTCAGAAGAAACCACAGACATGCTCTCCACGGCACAATGAAGGCTTTGGTTCGTCCTCCTTCCGATCATCAGTTTCCGTCGCATTCGAATACTGACTATTGTTACAGAAGGAGTTGAAGGAGGGCAAGCGTGAGACCGCATAAATTTGATAATATCTTATTTTATGGGACTTGGTTGTGGCAGTAGTTGCATTCCGATATTTTGCTCTACAGGGAAGTGGAAGCAAGCCGACGACATAAACCGGGATTAGACACTGGGGGCGATAGTTCTATCCATTGAATCAACACAAGCTACACCATTCGACGTACCTCAAATTTCAACTTGTGAGGATAAGTGAAAATTGGCCTTTTTTCCAATGACTCCCTCCCCCCTGCCCCATTCCTTTTCCACTCCAAATTCGTTTCCCCCATGAACATTCATCAACACAGGCATTTGTGTGTACAGCTTTTAGAGCCATTTCAATGCTCTCTAGCTGAAAGGATATTTTCTTTTCGTGCCAAGATCAAACACCAGATCCCTTCATTACCAAACACTTTTTCTCAATACTCTATGAGGCAATGGTGCATGACGAAGGGGTTACAAATCAAATCGTGGATATCAAATGTCAAGTCATAGTACTTAGGATGACTTCATTTATGAGACAACATTTATCAACATGTATTGGATACTTTTGGGACTTCGGGGGTTAACTAGCCACAGGCAGGTATTTTTGTTTGGCCCCAGTGATAGGACTTGACTTGATAAGCAATGTTATTCGATTCTTTTCTCTTCAATCACAACCCAGAATTGTTCCGGATAATGGCTATCCAGGAGGATGTATGAATTTTGAAGTGAATGTAGCTACAAGTGAATACACCTACCTAGCACCTACCTGTCTAGGTAATGAAGAAACCTCGAGATGGAGATGGCTTCATTTCTCACTATAACCTGGGACTTGATTTGAAAACCAATAATCTATGTTGGTGAATTTGAATGTGAAACAGAACTTTTTTCTTTATTCATCAACGGCGATCTGGCATTGGCTCTGCTTTTTCCAACATTGACCCGACCTCCTTCCGCGGTGAATCCCTTTTTACGTATCTAGCATAATAATAAATGTACAATTGTACTTCCCTCGGGGATTTTCCTACCTAGTACTTTTTGATGAGCTTATTGCTCCGCATCTACTCAATCCGAAACATTACTTTTTGCCCCCTCCTCTTCAAGAAGAACAAAATAAAACGTTGGACACAAGCATATCTATCCATTTTATCTATTATACGAGTAGATACCTGGTACCTACCAAGTATCTACATCTAGAGAATAATTCCTGAATTCAAATCCAACTCATCCGGTCAACTCAAGTCAAACTCGACTCGACTCGAATGAACTCAACTCTGTACTCATAACCTACTCTGTTACTGTATCAAAAGTACAATATCAACCAGCAACGGTCGATTCGGTACTATTTGGGTATTTGGTAATCTGGAAATCGGAACCAGGAACCCTTTTGGGATCTCGAGTTATCCATCTTCTCGTCTTTCATCCATTCTCTCAGCCTGATTTCGGGGCTTCTTACAAGTTACAACCCAAAAAGTACCTGAACCCTGAGAAATCCTTCTCTATTGGTTCACTACCACCCACTTCCAATCCACCATAAACTTACTTAACAAAATACACGAACCTATCCTGTACTTCGATTTGGTTCCTCAGCAGGTCCTGCAGGTAGCAATCAAGCGCATCGGTATTTACATTGGAGCACATCTTTCTAATTTTGGGGTCGAGGCTTTTGACTGGGAACGAACTTGCAATCTTCCTCGCATTGACATTCGTCGGCTGTGTTTCATATTTTCCCCCATTTCCCCCCAAAGCGAATCTCCAATCTTTTTTATTACAGCATCTCGTTTTGAAGCTACATTTTGAACAGTTATGCTCAATATGTCGGCCGGACACATCATAGGCAATCGCAACAGCACTCCTGTCGAGTCTACAAATACTTCATCACTCCGACCTCCATCTTCACGCGCTGTCGGCTCAGGTCATCACCTTCGAGCTTCTGCAGACATGGCTGGATATTCAGGTTCACCATCTGCTAGCCGTGGCCAAGCTCGTCCTTCATCCGATTTTTATGGCACTCAACAAATGCAAGGTCAGGGTGTCCCTGAGAATGATACTGACTTGGAAGCTCAGCAATGGATCGCCGACATTGATCAATATGAGAATACTTTGGAAGAAATGGCAGCTGCAACTTTGGATCAAGACTTTAAAGATGAGTTGAGTGCAATAGAACAATGGTTCCGGGTTCTGAGTGAGGCCGAACGAACCGCTGCTTTGTATGCTCTACTTCAACAAACAACCCAAGTACAGATTCGCTTTTTCATACAAGTTTTACAGCAGATGGGCAAAAACCATCCAATGTCTGGTGTGTTGTCACCCGCAAACTTTGATAAAGGTTAGTTTCAAAACATCTCGGCTTCACACTTTTCTTGAGGTCTAGCTAACATTTGTCTACTCCAGATCCCATGTCAACTCGACTAAACGATGCAATGGGCAAGCTTGGTGGTGATGGCTCAAGAAATTCTATTGGCCGTCCTCCCGCCACTCCATCTACAAAGAGACACTCTGTCCTAGATCCATCCATGATAAACAACATGTTTCCAGATGCTGCAGCAGCCATTGCCAGCAAAAAGGCTGAATATACTCAGAACTGGGGCAATCCTCCTACCTCAAACAGAAATAGTGCAGCCTACGACAACCGTGCCTCTCTCACCGCACCTGTCATCGCTGGTCTTGGAGACTCGACGGACAATAGCGCACCTCCCGCCTCACCATGGGGATCTCGCAGTAATGACCAGGCAAACAGGCCCAAGTCATCTTCGGGACAACCACCCATGGGCCAGTTTATGCAACCGCCACCATCAGCTGGTGGCTTGCGCTCTCCCAGACCCACTCAAATTCAAGGCTCATCTAATCTCCAAAATACTGTAATCAACGCTCCTGACAATTCTGGCTCTGATATGCCCCTACTTTCGCCATATAATGCAGGGAATGGAAACTGGGCCTCGATGGTCAACACACCAATGGTCCCCAATTTCAATGCGTCGAACAGCAACACTGATATGGTCGCAAACGCTACGGCTATGAAATTAGCGGCTCTTTCTACAGTCAACAATCGATTTGCCTTGGATGATGTGCGAAAGTACCGCCGTGCTAGATCAAACGATGGTGGACAGGTTCCACCTTCCCCCGGTCTTCCCAACAATATGCCAAACGCTAACGTTGTCATGATTAATGAACACGGACAAATAATGAGTCGAGACCAGGTCCTAGGGCTTCAAGCTCAGCAGCAGCATTCTTTCGGCGGCAGGCAGTCTAGGCCAAGCTCCCCAGGTTTGGCCATGCAAGGCGGATTTGGCCAAGTCAATTTCGCATCTCCACAGAATAACGGCTTCTTGGCCGCATACGATGGAGCCTCACCTCTACTCAACAATGGCATGAGTGGCTTGAGTCTTAACGCATTTGGTATGGGACAGCATGAGGGGTATCTCTCTGATCATAGTGAAATGGCGCGGGGTAGATCGCCACGTGGAAGAAGGGGTAGCTCAAAGCCCCCTGAGGATCCTACCGATCCTAGCCTTCTTCAGGATATTCCCAGCTGGCTGAGAAGTTTGAGATTACATAAGTACACCGATCAGCTTAAGGATATGAATTGGACCGAGCTTGTGGAACTAGATGACGAAGCATTGGAGAAGAGGGGTGTCAACGCGCTTGGAGCGAGAAGAAAGATGCTCAAAGTGTTCGAGCAAGTAAAAGGTAAGAATCTTGCAACAACCTCAGAGTGAAGCTAACAATATTTTTAGCTGCGAAAGCGGAGGGTAAGCTCTCATAATTTGATTTCATTATTTTCTACTGTTTTCACGCGAGCTTTTCGGTTTGAGTTCCAAATTGTATTTGAATACGAGACTATGGAAACAGCGGGTTGGGCAATCATACGGTTCAAGAATGTGGATATGAATGATGTTGGATTTTTTTTTCACAAGCTCCACAAACAGACAGCTTGGATGAATCTTGAAATACACAATTCAAATTCGTATCTTGAATCACTCCAAATAGTTATAATCATGTAATGCGAACACTCGTCTATCTATGTATCTTTCTTTGTACCATTTAGTCTGCACATATATTTCATTCTATAGAAGGCACTCATCCTCTGGCTCAAATCTCTAGATCTATATACCATACCTCCTTTGTAGATGCTTCTATTTCAACCACCCTAGCACGTGATACAATTCATATCACGAATTAACAAACACAGGAAGATAACTCCAAATCTATAATGATATAGCTCTCTACGGAGTAAATAAAAACTAGAAGACTATTAGATGCGAAAAATACGAAATACGAGAATACCAAGTCCCCCCCCCCTCATTCGCATTCTTGCGCTGGTCAGATTTTTTACGTGGAGTTAAGAGGCCGCTAAAAATTTAAGTTTACCATACATAACCCCTGAATCCCCATTCCCCCCCAAAATGGCTTGTAACTCTGATAAGCTGGACGGATCGCGCGAAGCCTAGAACTCTTTAAATCGCTGGGCAGTCACATACCCGTACACAAATTCATGATGCGACTTTATTTACTTCTTTCTCTGATTCAAACTCAATTTACTTATGCTCATGTGTTCAGTATGACTTAATAAAGGTTGAAGAAGCAAATTCTTTCGTTGCATTTTTCGACACATTATTGAGACAGTGTTTCGATACCCATATCAACCGATACATTCATAATGGCTAATCATGATACTTTCGCGGCCGGTGGCGATAATCATGCGAGTACCAATACCAATGCCAATGCCAATGCCAATACAGCTTCGCCTTCAGCGAATTACCTACGCCAAGATGAACAATCTAGTATTGAACCAAGTGTCTTACCATTCCCCCTTCTAGATGGATCTTCCCCCCCAAATCCATCGTCTACCTCCAAAGTCGAAGAACAAGGAATCACTCGAAGTAGAGGAGCATCAAGTACATTGGGTAGTATTCGGCGAGTTTCCAGAGTATTTGAGGAATCGAACCCACCGACGGGGTTTTGTATTGCATCGGGACAAATCGCATCGCAGGTACCTTCGATAACCGATATCAGAAGAGGAAGTTTTGGAGTCGAGGGTTGGTCGAGCGAGGGACAGGTTCGAGAAATACAGAGACGGACAAGCTCTTCTCGAAGCACCATTTCACAATTGGGAGATCAGGATAAGAGTAGGAGAAAGGATTCGACCGGTATGAATACTTCCGATCATATCCCATCGGGTACGGAAACCAAACATGATGTTCTTCCCGAAGCACCAGAGGAAGAGGAACGTACACAAGCGCATTCAGATGATCTGAGAACTACTTCTACCACCACGAATTCAGACGTCAAGAAGAAAGTGCTTGTTAAACCGAATTCCAGTGTTCGGATTAGCAGCGATACAAATCGCGCGTCTCACAATGCGAAGATAGACGATGAATACAGAACGACTCCTTTTGATAATGGATATCAATTTCCGCCCAAACACTCATGGCAAGTTTCCACGGCCATATTTTTCAAAGCCTTTTGGAAATTCTTCATTACTCCTGTGGGATTTCTCGTTACGGTGTACGGTTTGAATGTGGTTGCGTGGGGTGGTATGCTCTTTTTACTACTCTGCAATGCTTCGCCCGCCATGTGCAAACCAACCTGCAACGATATCAATTCTCCTCGACGCGTCTGGATCGAAATCGATTCGCAAATTCTCAATGCCCTTTTCTGCGTAACGGGATTTGGAACGATTCCCTGGCGCTTCCGCGATCTCTATTATCTCCTCCAATACCGAATTGGAAAGAATGAACTGGGACTGAGAAGACTGGCTGGGATCAATAGATCTTGGTTTCGTCTCGCGGGTTCGCAGTCTTTGTCCCCGGAAATAGATCCTTCTCACCTCGACGCCCAGGATTCCGATACTCCCCTCCCTCAGTCAAGCCTCGCATATCCCCTCTCAAAATCGCCGGATGCACCACTGACAGGTGTTCGAGCCCCCGCTACCGCTATGTGGAAACTCGACTTTGTGGTCTGGACCATGGTGTGGAACACCTTTCTCCAAGCCGTCCTTTCGGGATTCATGTGGGGACTTAATCGGTATGATCGTCCGTCGTGGAGTACGGGACTTTTTGTGGCGCTTGCTTGTATGGTTGCTGCGGCGGGTGGGATTATGTCGTTTGTGGAGGCGAAAAAAGTCAAGGCGATTGAGGGCGTGCCGGTGAGTGAGGAGGATAGAGAGAGATTGAGGATGGATAGGGAATTGGGGGTGTTGCATTATAATAATATTAAAGATGAGGGACCGAAGGAAAAAGAGAAAGAAGGGAAGGGGAAGAGAACAAAAGGAGAAAAAAGCAGAGCCGAGGAGGCGAGGATGCAGCAGAGTATTGAAGAGGGTGTTGCGCAGGTTGTCAGGTAGCGAGGGCGTTTGTGGATTATTTGGGGGTTTGGTTTTGAGGTTCCGATAATGGGATAGCTAGGGTTTGCGGTGCCTGTATACACCTACATTTATTTATACATACTTACTCATGATATACATACACGCATACACATGAAGCGATGGGTTTGGGAATGAAAATTGAGAAGGATAGTGTTTAGTGTTTATAAGCGTTTGGGTGGGTAGCATGGGTACATGCATGATTTTTAAATATCTATACGCAATAGGATGGATATGATATTCTCATCAGAAAATTGAATAGTTTCTGAACTTTTAAGTTTTTGCATGATGGCGATGGTGATGCGGTGGGAGGAGAGATGTGTGTTTGTTTGTTTATCAATGATTTGGAACACAATAACGAAGTTACTGTTTGAAATGTAGAAAATATTGAGTGAAAAATGATCCAGCCAGGTTTCCTGGCAACAAATTCCATTTCATTGACGTTATGCTATGTTATGTTATGCTATGTTATGCTATAGCCTTTTTGACTAGTATGCTCCGCTCACAAATCATCATATGTGCATTGCTAAGTTCCATCCGCGTAAAAAGTCCCAGTAATGCTAGGTCGATGATATCCGACCAACCTCGAAGTTCCAATTCAACCTGATGCGCATCTTCTCTCGAAATCTCTATCGCCAGTAACATCCCTCAACCAGACATCTCTAAATCCCCATCTCCACCACCTTTCTTCTGTTCCTCTGCTCTCGCCTTTGTCTTATTTTTCGCTTGTTCCACCCATTCCTCATATGCCTTAGGCCCCTCTTTCAATTTATCTCCTATTACTCCCTTCAATACTTCCCCTGCAAATCCTACAAAATTATGTCTTCGTAAAGCATTCTCGAATTGCCACTCATTCCTCTTCTGTTCCTCCCTCATCAACAACTCCACGTCACCCACTTCCCTCGCCCTAACCCTCAAATCCTTCACCATCGCCAATAAATTAAATCGTATCTCCGTCGCTGGATATCGTTCTATTCTCCTCTGTAAAACTGGTATAACCTTCTCTGGAAACTCTTCAACAGTCGATGCTCCATGAGATATAGGTGCAGGTTGCAGACCATCTAATTCATAGAGGATACCATTTATAGATGTATAAGCAATGAAATGATAAACATCTCCATCCTCATCTCTCGAGGATCGTTGCGTCTCATCAACAAACGGACTTGACCTAGCGAAACTGTTATGAACATCTCTAATCAAATCGCTATTACTGAGCGCATCTCCTCTAAATTCCGCCGGGAATCCTGCTGTGAAGTCTTTGAATTCTCGAAGGGGGGTGCCAACATCTATTTCTCCATCTTTATTCAGGAGGACCGAGAGGAGTGCTTGGGTACCACAAGCATTTTGTATAGTCTGTGCCGCGAAAAAGAGATTTTCCGCAGCGGGATAATCGTAGGAACCATCTTTGGGTGTGCCATCTTTATTGGGGGCTTCTCCGATGGGATATTTGAAGAGGAATATGACGCCATAAATGGGAGAGAGTTGACGGAGATAATCAGAATCGAGCGCGATCAGTTCTTCGAATTGTACATCTTTGACACCGAGATTATCGAGAAGAAATGTGAAGACTCCCTATAAGAGGAAGATGTCAATTGTCTGTTTGCTCTAGATCAGGAATTGTGTTGTAGGCTTCTTACTGCGTCAGATTCGACTGAAGTGGGAATGTTAGTATTGTTGGTATTTCCTTTTAAATTTTGGTGACATATAGAGTGCAATACTTACTAGTAGACCAACCACCACTCATATTTGCTATAGTTTAATGTACAAGACGTGTGGTGAGAAGGAAGTAATTTTGAATTACAACTTTACAAACATTTGAAGCTCAAGCTTCCGAAACTAGGTAAGCTCCAGGTGCGACGAATTACGTCTTGCGCTAGTATTGACGCTAAACCCCTCTACACGTGATTGCCCCCTGTTGCCCCCGGTGAGGTGCCAAGTGAGACGAAAATTGTGTTGGTGAAATGAAAAGTAGGGAGTAGATGCACGTCATACTTAACGTCGATGCGTTTCTGTAGATCTCTGAATTTATACATAATTGTGGAGAGGAATATATGGGTATATTGAGATCTCGACCTAATAACTTACTTTTTCTTGGAAGCTGACTGCATGCCTAGTAGGTAGGTAGTTTTCGAGGAACGGGAGAGATATCAGACAGGTCACACATCATTGAGCAGATCACTTGGAGATTTCCATAACACCAGTGGTTTGTTAATTTAATTGATTGATTGATTTCCTGGCAGGTTAATCTGATAGATTATCTAGACACATTATCATTGCAACCCCAGACGTTTGCAAATCTAATCCTGTTCGCACTACACACAAGATAGCTACTATTCTTAACTGTAACGCCAACTGATTTTTATAGCCATTTATGGCTATTCATTGAGCCCAAAAGCTCAGCCCAATCAATAATTCCTCCAATTCTCAAACCCAACCCAAAAACGCCGCCCAATGCAAGATGCTGTATTGGTATATAAAGGATCGTGGGTGCTGGTATTCGTACAAGAATGCATAGCGAAAGAAAATCGTAAACTTCGTGAATCATTGGTCGGATATAAAGGAGAGTCGTTAGGATGATGTAGATATTAAAAGCAATAATTAAGGAGATCCATAAAGTATAATCTCGTAAAAACTCGACGGTGCGCGCGTATTCGCATATTCAAAAAGAGGAATTCGGGGATAATTTGGTATTAAAGCTCGCGGTTTTTTCCCTTGGGATCCACCGGAGTGTTGTCGTATTGAGAGTGAGGTAAATGTTGAGTATGATAGGTATAAGGTTGAAATTGAGGTAAATGCTGCATGTGTTGCTGCATATGGTCGGAATGTTCAGCTTTGATCTGGTCCGCAGAAGACCTGGGCTCGAATTGAAAAGATGATGTTGTGGTCCTGGTCGTAAATGTTAAATCGCCTTCGTTCGAGGTTTATATCCACACGGTCGGAAGCACAAACCCGCCGAAATTGGAGCCGGAGCCCTGTCCCTCATAAAGAGCAAAATCTTCCCCATGCTCGCTGTAGACCGTTGAACCCTCCCCAAAATTCGAAGATGCCGGACTATGGTACCCGCCATACCCACTTGGCGATGGGATTCCCAAGTAATGATGATTGGCGTATGGATCGAGAGTTAATGGCGGAATGGCCGCAGAAGAAATCGGATCTGGCGGCATGGTCATGATATGCTCTTGGCTGTAGGTGAAAGCTGGATTTCCGTAAGGAGAGATAGTGTTAAAATTGTCCTCCATACCGTAACTATGATGTGAAAATGTCGGGAAAGAAGCTGTACGTTCTGGCTGAACCCAACCCATACGACTTCTAAACATTGAAACCATATCTATGGGGTATTCCATAAGATGAAGAGGTGTTTGCATATTGGAATCAGAAGTTTGCGAAACGTTGATGGAGAACAGTCGGCGAGCGATCTCTTCGATGGGTCCCAGAGAAAGACTGCCAAAATATGCTGCTCCGACCTCAGGGAATAGAGGTTCCACGACCAAAGCAATGGTATAGTAATGAGCGAGGATGACTAGCGCTGAGGGTGATCCGCGTGTTTGTTGCAGGAACATAACCGGTAGCCAGAATAACCAAGCTCGAAGTGGGTTGAGCATCTCGAATCGCTGAGCGGCGGTATGGGATGGAGATACCTTTCGGACACCTCGGACAAAACTCATGAGTTGTTGAATAGCCTTGGTGTCTTCGCCGTGATTCTTCAAATGGACTTCAACCTTTTGAAGTTGAGCATAGGCGCGTTGCAATGCCTCCAAATCTTGCTTGCGTGGTTGACTGAGTTTCTTCTGGCCGGGCGCTGGAGATGGTGGTGCGGTTGGGAACGTGCTTTGCTCTGCAATAAAATCACCGAATTGAGATTCCATTTTCCAGGGTTGCATAGCGTCGATGACCTAATAGATGTTAGTTAAAACTGAAATATGGTACCCAATATTAATTATATTCCATACTGATGAAGTTCCATGCATGAGCTGGGTCCAGCCACGCCTAAGTTTGTGTTAGCTTTATATTCTTTGGATAATCACTTTGTTGGTAACTTACCATTCCGTTGCTTGCCAAGAAAGGAGAAGTGAAGCTCCCAAGACTGCATCTGAATTTTGACGAGAAAACTCTCCAATAGCTTCGTGCAAGCCTTTGAGAGCAATGCCACGATGAATGTATGCCATATTTGCCGTCAGAGGGCAGTCTGTCAACCAAGCTAGATGAGTTGCAGACAAGGCAAGTAAAGCGTGCATGACGAAAGGATAGCTCGAACCAATCTTAAGTAAGCTAAAAGCTTGATTAGCATGCCAAAGATTTATTGTGAAAGTGGTTAATCTTACAGTGGGATCTGTCGAGTCCAAATAGTGAAATTTCCTGCGTCATGAATGCTGAGCTCGCTGGAAACGGAAGCCACATGATGAATGAGGCGAAGGTCTTCGAAGTTGAAATACTGAGGGTTGGGAGCTGGATAGATGTATAGATCAGGGAAGGGAAAGTTCCCAGTCTGTTGCCAACGCTCAATGTCTGCTTCAATTTCCGGGGTCCATAGTAAGTCTGCTTTCTCGGGAGTGGCAGCTCGTTCCTCCTGTACTGGCATATCCATATATGGACAACGACAGTTATGTTTCGTACAGTTTCGACTAAATTGTTATTAGTATTGAAGCATCTTGAAATCACCAGATGATTTGTTTTCCATCGACATACCATTGAGGAAAGTTCTCGTCGCAACGGATGTGTCTACGTTTACAGGTTTCACAACCCTTTCGAGATTTGGTATGACTATTTCAAGTTCAGCTATGTTCACAAAGGTATTGTTAGAAGTGTTTATCTTACCTCCTACGAGGGGGTCCACCTCCAGGTCCGGCCATTTTGAATAAGGCTTGGGGGAAAAAAGAAGTTGGAAAAAAAAAGTGAGTAAATAATTGACGACGAAGGCTTGAACGAGTGAAAGCCAACGTCGAAACGGGTTTGAAAAGGTAAGGTCAATAGGATATATAGAAAGCTAGAAAGTTTATATGTTGCGTAAGAGAGGCAACAGAGGGGGAGGTACTAGAGATCTAAAAGGTCTCCGAGGCTGCCGGATATATGTAAGCTTCACCGTCTTGCAAGCGAGTGTAATGGTAAGGCTGCAAGAACCAGCCGGGTTCAATATCTTCTTGATATCACAAAACAATCAGATCTAAAGGCGCAGCGGCTGAACGCAACGTAGCTGTACTTCGATGTCGAGGTGAGCTTGGACAGACTTGGAGCAGCAAGTAAGCATATAAGCTGGGTATGTCTTTAAGGATCCGGAAGATCAAGGGAGAATCCGGCCTGATATAATCGTCACACAAAAAGTAGTGATTGCGTAGCGATTGTGTGGGTTTAAGTTGTTCAACGAAGGTATGTTGTGAGTCAAGGCTGCGAAAGGAATTTCCTCCGAAGGCTTGCCTTTTAGGTTTTTGGGAGAATTAGGGCTGAGTGAGGACGACACAAAAGCGAACGGAAGGAGCCAACGAGGGCTTCCTAAGAGTGATACACACAAGCGAATGTGGTGGGAAGGAGGAGTTGCAGCGAACGTGAGGGCTGAAGTGTGTTTGTTTTCTGGATGATCCTGATGCGAAAGGGAAATATCAAAATCATGATTTGGCTGGCGATGCCAGCATTCTAATAGCAAAAGGCGTCCTTGCCGGGAGTGTGGCAGAATTGATGGAATAGGTATAGCTCTCAGCACAGCCAAGGTACCCGGGATGCGGAGCGCTTGAAAGCCTGCATGTGTAGGGCAGGGTAGTGTGGTACGGAGTGTCTAGGATGATGATGATTTGGATTTAGTATGGTCAGGATTGGATGGCATGGTGGAGATAGTAGGAAGGGCAAAGGTTAGTAGTGTATGATAAGTGTATGGAAATAAAAATCTTTTTTTGGATGAAATAGGCAAATTTAGGTCAGGTGGAATGGAATCAATTGATTAGTGAGTATTTTCCCGTAGTAGTCATCGAGAAACTTAAGAATTAACTACTGGTAGGAACTACAATAGTTCCAAGGGGCAGGCAGACATTAGCATCTTTAGTAGACCATTACTTAACAAACTGCATGGCAGATTCTACCATGCCGCTGTGGAATTCTCTGCTGTAGTCTACTACCTAGGCTGAGAGTGCACTATTTAATTATTCATCCATTCCACCGGCTCTCCACTATTCCATTCATTGCTCCAGTATCTATTTTCATAACGAGGGCAAACAAACAATCTTGGGTGCCACAAGGAGGAAGATTTTGACTGTGTCAGTGTGAGGTCTTGGATTGATCAGATATTAGTCAAGTACCAGTATCGTTATTAGTTATAGAGTAATGGTATATAGGCTGTATAATACCAAGGAAATGGAGAGGTTTCTTTTAGTAAGATAGATGTAATGTGCTTCAAAAAAGGTCAATGGGGGCAGGGTAACGGGGGGTACCGAAGAATGGAACTGGGTTTCCATCGATTTCGGCTCCGATAAACAATAATGATCTCGTTTTGGGGGCGGAACAACCAGAACTAATCAGGTGCTTTGACAGTTGGTTGGATTATTTTAAGGTAGCATTTGCTATTATTACTATGACCGCAAGATTGTATGTTCGCAGTTTACCAGTGCTATGAAGTATTGAAACTGTTAACATTTTCAAACGTAGGATAATTGCTGGCAAGATAGTAGACTAAACTTTGAAGGCAAACCTGAGCTATGATACCTGTAAGTACCGAAGATACAATGCTCATAGGTGCCCAAAAATAAGTGAGCGAGATACGGACATTGAAAAAGTCCATTTAGGTTTCACTTGGAAAAAGGTGGCAGGGCAAACAAGTAAGGGGGAAAAATGGGCAAAACGAAAGCTCGGATAAGAATAGCCTATTTTAGTTTAACCCTTTCCGAAGTTGATGTTTTCGTTTCTGACATACTCTCTGTCTACACGAAGTTTCGATTGAACCAATGATTATTTTTAACCCTAAAACATTATTACCGTTCGTCTTTCGTTCGTTCGTTCGTTCGTTCGTTCGCTCGCTCGCTGAAAGTTTGTATTGTATAATCAAAGCAAAAGAAATCTAAACCTCCTCTGCCCTCCACTACCTATCAAAATCTCACCGCTTTCCATGTTTCCATCTAGCTTTTCCGAAAAGACTAAGAAAAAACTCTATTTTACTGCGGATATGCTAGCAAATTCATCCACTTACCTAATTTTGAAATCAATTCCTGCGTTATAGTGAATATGATGCGACGGTGCATAACTTCAAATGTAGGGAGAAACATAAGGTTGGTGGAGGAAAGTTCCCATCTTCCTTGTCTTGAACAACGAACCAGCTTTCAGCGGCGTAGATCTTCTGATGCAGTCTTTGGAATAAGGTATAACAAGGATCAAAGGTAGTGATGGTTGGTTGTACTCAGTAGTGGATGGAAGGTGGAATGCACCTTGATCCAAAAATAAATTTTATGAATATTTGCTAAGTTCTAACCGTACACTTGCATTTACATACGGACGTACATGCCTACCACACAATGACTTACTCACATGTGCTTTTGACAGCTTAATGACTTGAATCGGATTGGAGAGCCGAATTGGTGTTGGAGGACGGGTTCACATTATCTGTTTGTGGATGAATAGAGTGGAAGATATCTTCTTACTGGTTGATTTCCGAGTTCTGTTTGCATATCACCAACGGAGACCTGCCGCATTCTCTTATGTTTCTTACCCGAAGAAGGATTGGCTTGCAATATTGTTGGCCATCACCCTCCTTCGATGTTTAAATGCTACGGCGAACGAATCAATATCCCTGATCAATGCAAAGGGTTCCATGAATCCATGATATTGATGTTGATGGTACCCGCTATGGGCATAGGGCTCCAGCCTCCATTTTCTTTGCTTGGACTTGATGACAGAGGTTTTGTTACATCATTTGATAGAAAAGGGTTAATTACCTGGATTGAACCTGGATTAACTTACCAATGTGGCATTGTAGTATTTTCCCTTTAACTGAAGATAGCCAAGGGAGAAAGCTTGCCAATACAATATACTGTTGCCTGTCACTAAAGAAATATAAGAGTGTAAATGTCTAAATGTCTAAATCTACTAGCAATCACGATTGATGTAATAGTAGTTTTAAGTTTTTAGCTTGAAAAAACTAGAATTGATACACTGCCAAACCACCACACACGGCTCAATCATTAACCAAATCATTCGACCGAGGTAATTGAATATACCCACCTAGTCTGTTTCCTCCTTTGTTCGACGTAACGTCCTTGATACATCACACATCATACATTGTCATAGCCTTCAAGCGATTTGCAATACGGAGTAATCGATGTGATGAACGTCAAGGCAAGGCACAGAGCGAAACCGAGAATGTGATGACATTCGATCAGAACAGATTATAATATGATGTTGCTACACTACGCTCTGCACTACGCTGCACACTGCAATGCAAATGCATGAATGTGAAGCAGGCCCGATATCTGTCGATATCCCATCTATCCTTTACTTATTCGGGAACATCATCCATAACCCCCATCCATCCCCATCCATTCAATCATGATCCATCACACCCTTCACGTCCATCACATCCATCCATCGCCTTACTTGTACTCACTCTCAATTTCTGTGCTGAAACTTGAACGCCTATAAGCACAATCAAATCAAATTAGACCAGCTTATGATGGCATTGTAACGCAGCTTACGCATCGACGCTTGCCCGCCGCTCAAGCCCAACACCACTCTTCACAGGAAGATGGCCTCAAGGGTTCCTCGTACATACGCATTTGTCGATGCTGGTGACACAGGCGAACGACTCCGCCTCAAACTAAACCACGACCAGCATGACGGATTCAAAAGTCGATTTCTTACCAGTGTCGCACTGTCGAAAAGGGGTCTTGAATTGGGTGGAAGCAAGCAAAATAGACAAGCATTCTTCATGTCCAAATGTAGAAGATTAGTGCACTTTCGCACTCGCTCACACATTTTCTCGTGTCCATTTTTGCATCATTACCGTCGTTACCTTGTCATGATACGGTGCTGAGAGGCCCTGAATGTTTGCGTTGTTTCTGATGACAGGCTGACTGAAACTGCCGGCGGCTGTGCAAAACAAAATAAAAAGAGGATGTCATTCAAAAACATTGCGAGGGCATCGAATACCAATTCCTTCTACACCACGTCGATATTTGGAATAGCCCCTTCATACCCGATCCGCTCTTCCCACGGAACTCGGATATACTACCCCCGTCTATTTTATATAATCATATATATTACTTTGAACAACGATGCGAAGTAGAAAGATGTATCAAGTGATCTAATTAACAAAATAAGCAGATAGACGAAATTGTCCCGACTGACATGTTCATTTGTACTCGTGTTCTGCCCTATGATCCAAGTCATTATCTCATAATTCCTGAGTAGCGTCCCAGGTTACCACTCCGTCGGGCTGTACATTCAATGGGTATTACAATTCCATATTCTGCACTCCAAAACCTTACTCCATACTCGTAGAAGGAATTTGATACAGCATCTATCAACCATACAAAATTTCATGATTAGCATTTCGGGGAGTAAACTCATCCCTCCCGATCGCCGTCTAAATATTTTTAAATGACTAAGGAGAGAGCGTATTCTACAGTATTTTATTCGACTACCCACAACACTAACCAGGGAATTTACGCATTAAGTATCAAGTGCGAACCTTACCAGGCATGACCTCGGGCCACCGTTGAGCTTCTGAGCTCTGATTGTCTCACTTAGACAGGTCCTTAGATCCAACCCATGGTTGGCCGCGGCTGAAGGGGTGAACCCAGCCATATCTCACTATCCCGTGCGTTCAGATCTGCGACTGGGGATTCTTCTATACGGTTTCAGTTTTCCCAAGTTTCTTCCTACACATTACCATCTTTTTGTAACGAGAAAAATCAACAAACCCTAAAACCCCCTTTTTGCTGCACGTTATTGGTTCACTCGCTCTCGCCAAGGACTAGGGCCTTGGCTTCACCGCCTTATGTCACTGCTTATGGATCGATAGGGATTTGGTTTTATAAACTTGGGTATTAGGTAGTAAGAGGGGAGAGGGATTTGATTATTCATATACCGTCAGGATGAGTCAAAACTTCCATCGTTTCCTTCTGTGTGCTTAGCATAAAAGAAGGTGGACTAATGCTATCTCGCTATGCAGAGAGATTTTCTTGTGATAGTGACATCGATCATACAGTACATATTAATTCGAGCGCCTCCTTCATCAAATCCTGTCAATCGCGTGGCCAAAACATCAGTCGTATGCATGGAACTACTGAACAATTACTCTATAGAGCGAAGTGTATAAGTCTGTACAGCAGTCATTGGGTACAATCATTACTGCAGCATGCAAAAGGCAAAAAGACATGTTTAAATCCCCAATAATTTATTCTTAGTACCCATTTTTCTTCTAGAAGATCTAACTTTCCTTTCCGTGCGGTACAAGAGCATGCTGTGCTGTGCTGTACTAAAGAACACACGAAAGTTTACATGCAACATTGAAATACTACGTAGTATGAAAATCGGACAACAACAACAACAGCTACCGCAAGCTTTAAGCACAGAAACTACACTACTGTAGGTATGTTTCCATTCATATAATAATACATGCAGCTGTGTTAATAATCATCCGTTTTTATATAGTGGTCAGATTCGATATAATTCAGGTCCGACCTTACCAGGCATCGTTCATTGTCACTGTTTCTCGGGTCGCCTCTTTTTTCCCATTTATTTTCTACATGCATGACTTCGATCGCTGTGCTTCACTACAGTGCTCTATGAATTTTGGTGCTGCAAACTCGTAGATCCTCGGTCCTTCACGAATAATAGCTTATCTTTTACACTTTGTGTCTTCACGACTCTCGAGTAGATTTGATTGGGACGCTAATGGAACACCATGCTATAGGGATACTATCAGTGCCCACCGTCCACTACAATGGATTTCACCTAGCACTTTGGTAGCTAACATAAAGTTTTCAGCGTTTCCTGGTTTCCTTCGTTCCCCCACTTTCCCACTTTTCCCCAGCGCAATAGTGGTGTGCTCGGCTGGTTTTCTGAGCAGCACCTTTTTGTAGAAGACTAGAAACCTTACCACCGACGTCGATTTTGCCTTGCTTATCCCTTGCTCATTTCTCTGCAATGTGGGGCTAACGGCGACAGCACAAAGCTACTGATACCGATGAGGCAATTGCGGCCATATTGCAAGGATTGATTTGTCTCGGGATGAATGGAAATCCACATAGTCGACAGGAAAGTCCCATGACCTTTTACTATTGCTCGATCACCAAGGATACTACCCAAGCTTGATCCTGTACGAAATATGGGAAGTTTCGAAGAGATAACATGTTTGCCACGCGAGTGGAACTTTAGTCGAAGATTTTTGGCGATGAGATGGGGTTTTTTGAGCAAAGATTGACCTATGCACGTCAAATCTAAGCTCGGGGAGAAAGCTTCAACAATTATTCATTAAAATCGTGGAATTTCCCATCTTATGGGACGATCATTTTGGCGGTGAGGTATGTTGGTTAAACACGCGAGGGGGAACCTGCTCGTCCCCCTCGTCTAAAACCTAATACAGATTCCCCCATCAAGGTTCCTAAGTCCTACGTAAATATCATAGTTTCAACGGGGAATGCTCAAAAAAATATCATGATTCAGCGTGAAGAAGAATTAAGCTCAGAACATTAAGTTGGTGTTTCCGGCGCAAGCTCCAAATAAAGAATGCTTGACCGGCTCCAGCTTCCAAACCGCAATATTGGACCCTGACTCTGCGGTGTTCAACCTATCTACTTTGGGCGGGCTTCTGCATAAATGACAACATTGTTAAATCATTTGGAGAGGCTTAAGAGCATGGTTGTTCCTAGAGTAGTTCTTTCTCATACTTTTCACACGCTATGTTGAACCAATTAGACGCTTGAAAACTTCAAAATCAATATGCAGCTACCACATGTTACTTAGCCTTGGAGGGCTTGTGAAACTATTCCTTGCATTTCTATCTCTTGGTAAATCATGGTGATAGATGTCATCCGAAGTCCAATTCCCTATTTGGAGATATCTGAATGAGTACGGTGAGGACAGAGCATGGGAGCATCGAATAGAATTAAGTCATGGGTAAGCGTCAAGGGGATATCGAAAATCGACGGGTGTGTACATCCAGAGCCACCATATCTAACATCTGTTGGGCCGAAGTATCGACATTGAATATCCGGTCGTATGTGTTTAATGACCATGTCACTTGCCCTGTTCATGATCTTATGGAGAATAAAAACAAACTTTTGGGATCTTTTGTCTCGGTATCAACATACCAGGGCGAGCAGGGGGCAAGGTTCTGTGCACAATTCTTATGAAAGACATCTTACCTTATTGCGCCTGTTCTCCGCAAGACTGGTCAAGCTGGGCCACAGCGCCAAGAGGCCAAGCTTTTATAATTCAAGTAAAGTTTGGTCTTGGCTTTTCTTGATCAACACGGGTGTTTGGTTGTTGAGTGGAGGGCGATGAGGGTTAAAAGCCGAGACAGCCTTTTTAACTCTTTTGATTACTAAAAATAGCCCATATATATTGGCTATATTGGGTAATCAATTCGCTTAGGAACACTCTATATTCTGGGGCCCTTATTCTGTATTGCTCTCTTAGATCCACTTGTGCAAAAATCGAACAGTATTGAAAAGATTCTTGAACTCATCCCGAGAATTCACCTCCCGTAAATCCGATATGTGGAGTGGAATTGAACCTAGGTACCGGGGACTCCGATGCTAATTCCATGAGCGAGAGGAAATCCGTAGGAAGGGAGGAGACCAACACATCTAAAGACAGCGATTTTCCCACATGAACCGGACTTTATCTTTCTCAGAGACCGAAGGCAAGAAAGTCATTCGTTGTGGCTGCAGAATTCTACTTGCCGGCTCAGACTACACTTCACCATCAACCATTATATCCAGGCAGCAGGAATTGCTTCAAATAGTGTAGTTTTAGTATTGTAAACGGTTTGGACTATCGCTACACTACCACCCGTGCGCCACATCCCGCTTCCTCACTAGAACTATCTTTCTGAGACGCACGAGAGGGGAAATGCAAGAAAAAGTAACTACACACGCAAAGCACCTTGTTAGGTTTGACTTATCTATCCTATTCTTGCATGATCTGAGATATGACCTATGACGAAAGGAAAACTCAATGTTTGTGCTTCTTTGGTTACATCCGCTGCCATCGTTCACTCGGACTCGGACCGCATTGATGTTTATGTCCTTAGGCAATGTGTTAGATTTTCCATTCTATCTAGTCTCTCAGGATCGGGTGTAGAAGGCTCCGTGTTTTCTTCCATGTCCATGGCTCCCCTCAGTAGAGAAGGGGGGAGATGAATGAAAATCATGCACATGCTGCAACAATAACATGTTATTGCAAGGTCAAACACACAAGATCTATGACCTGTCCTATCTACGGGCGTACTTTTGCTGTAGAGCATTAATCGTACAGGAAGGGGAACACAAAAGAACTTTCGCGAAGAAAAACAATAAAGACTGCGGGGTATGTTCATGTATTCTCCAGCCCCTCGATCCAATTATAGATAGTCGGTGAACGTGTCATTTTTCTTTCGCATGTACTCAAGTATCACTGCAGTAATCCCACTTCTACTAAAGGAAAGACGAATTGGAATAACGATCAACGCTTATAATCCTGCAAGTATGCATTTTGTCTGCTGAGGATCGAGATATGGAATTGCATGGTGTGGAATTTACTACCCATAAATTGAGAGGATGGATGCAACATGTAACGATACGTTGATTCAATAACACAGCAGCAGCAAACAGTGAAGATGTATGGCTGACTACCTACACGCATCTCCAATCATGATTAGTCCCTTTCAATATTATCAAATTTCCAAAATCTCTCCAATCATCCATATACGCAGGTGTGTACTAGTATTGCATAGATCCCATCCAGTACGCCGCACTACCCCGATTCCGTTTCAGTCACTACCATCGCCATCGTTCGACTATTCGATGAAGAACGAGAAATTGCCGC